ACTACATATGTTCGTAGCCGTAGTATAATTACACTTACTCGTAGTCGTACTATAATTACATTTGCTCGTAGCCGTAGTATAATTACACTTCTCGTAGCCGTACTATAACTACACTTACTCGTAGCCGTATTATAATTACACTTTCTCGTAGCCGTATTATAACTACATATGTTCGTAGCCGTAGTATAATTACACTTACTCGTAGTCGTATTATAACTACATATGCTCGTAGCCGTATTAAAATTACACTTACTCGTAGCCGTACTATAATTACACTTTCTCGTAGCCGTATTATAACTACATATGTTCGTAGCCGTAGTATAATTACACTTACTCGTAGTCGTATTATAACTACATATGCTCGTAGCCGTATTATAATTACACTTACTCGTAGCCGTACTATAATTACACTTACTCGTAGCCGCACTATAATTACACTTACTCGTAGCCGTATTAGAATTACACTTACTCGTAGCCGTGATCTTCGTAATCGAAGCTTGCGTATCCAGCGGAGATGGACTTGACCTCATCGTAAAAATCGGTGATGATTTCGGCTGTGGGGAGTACATAGCGTAGCGAAACCCTCGTTTCATCGATGTAACTCATGTCGTGCTGCAGTCGTCGAGAGAGTGCGCAGGAGCGCCAGAATATATGAGGGAGGCGGCAGAGAACCACTGAATACGTATATGCACGCAATGATGCCGACACACGTATGAAAGTGTACTATAAACACACATACACAAATGTACAACTTGAGCAGTACTACCCACCTGAGTTCCTCGCCGCGTTTCACACAGATTTAGCATTTTGCCAATATATTCAGCGGGAAAAATCAGGGTGCCCATAACCATTGGCTCCTCAATGTAATCCAGTTTCTGATTGGCGGGGAATTGTTCGGGGCTTTCGACCACCACGTCCGTACCGTCGACCAGTTTGGCCTGCACACGGTTTTACAGTTGGTAATTAGGTTCTGGGTTTTAATTTTGGGCGTTGGGGCTTTGTACCTGGATTCTCGGTTTACGATTTAATGTTGTGGAAAGGCGAGCTTGAGTTGCGAGGTGTGACATGGCTGCTTGAATGCGGAAGGGGGGGGATCAAGATGCTGTATGGTAAAGGTAGACACTTTACGGCAGAATACACAAAGTAGCAGGTGTACGATGTGAGGTCCAAGGCGGGAGTAATACAAGTTGATAAATAAAAAACTTAGAATTCAAAGCTCGAAAAAGTAAATGACTTATGGTGCGGAATACAAGGACAAATGAGTGCAAGTGCTGCCAGTCGCCTACTATTTCCGCTATATAGGGCGTCTACATGTGTATGTGAAGAGCACAGCAGCGTAGCTACAAACACAGAGCGATCCACGAAGACTTGGTGTATATATTGAAGGAAAGTTGAAGAGATCAAAAGCAGATAACTCTCCATTGTATTCACATATGCCCCGTCTGGCTGTCCTTGTGTATATGAATGGCCCTACGTTGCAATGTATCTGACTTGTATAGCAATATGCAGTACTACTGCACTATACGTGTATAGCCATGTACGGGCGGGCATTGTACCAGCGTTCACATACCTTATATGCAACATTGGGGGCCGTGACCACCACATTCGCACCGTAGTCCTCTTCAAGCCGTTGCTGGAACACTTCCATGTGCAGCAGACCTGTTGCGCAGATGACACAAACAGTTGTGAGTTTCAGTTGGGGCGATACCTATTGTCACACAATGACTCGATTCACCAGACGGTTGGTTCAAAATATGAACTTTTTTTTATCCCATTCTCAAATGCTATTTGGTATTGCTTACTCTACTCCAGAACCATATCCCTGCCGTCATGGTCATCGAGGTACCAGCTTTCTAGCGCCAAAATTTCAGTTAGGACAGAGATACAAAAAATTAAATATTGGATTGTTCCACTGGAGGTCACATCAGGCATCTATCTTTCCTTTACGAACCTGTTTTTGTTTGAAAATTCATCAAGATAGAGCCGAACCATTGTACTAATGATAAATATATCGAAGAAACCCAGCAAGTCTAATAATACACATCCCACCCAATGAGGGTACGGGCCACTGAGTTGTCATATACTAAGTAGGCCTCGACGATACCAGCCCAGCTTAAATGCAAATACCTGATACACGAGCAAGCAGCGCGGCCGCCATCACGCAGCGGTCAACCTAGCAAAACATCTTCAACGCAAAACCACCAACATTTCGATCGACACGACTAGAACATGGACTAAATCTCGGAAATTTACGCACATATTCCGGCGACGTTATTGATACATACCCACTCAACCGATTTCCATGGAGCACAGACGGCGTCATGACGAGATTCAGATGACCACAACAAACTTGGAAGATGCACACGAACATATGAAACATAACGGACGAGAAGTGTTTCAGACAGGGCATGTGCCACAAAGCGATAAACACCTCACTACACGTCAAACAGACTCACACAATAGTACATAAATCCGTACGGTGCATTAAATACAAGTATTGACTTACATTCTAAAAGTTTGGTCGCTATTAGTTTCAAATATGTGCGTAATATTGTGAGGAGCACAAACCTGCACCACAGACAAAAATAGAAACCTTTGGGCATACCTGTGAGTAATTGTAAACGAAACTTTTCTAATAAAAATAACTTACACCGCACATTCATTGTTATTGTTCATTGATTGCCCACAGTGTTGAACGTACATACCTAAGAAGCCCAGGCGCCAACCGAATCCCAGGGCACTGCTGCGAGTCTTCGCCACAGTCACACCAGCATCATTCAAAGTCAGCTTTTCAATTGCCGACCGCTGTAACGATATATTTTGTTATGCAAAAGACTATGAATAATAACGTATCAATGTAATTGTAATAACGTATCAATGTAATTGTAATGACGTATCATTGTAATTACAATAACGGATCAATGTCATTGTGTATGGAGATTAAATACACTTGACAAAACACCCGGCAGGTCTGCCAAGCTACCTTAAACATACCCACCATCCACATGCACGATGCAATACATGAGCCTAACGTACCATTGAGTCATGTTCTGACGAATCCATCGGGTAGATACCGGCAAACACAAGGGCTTTTGCTTCCTTGAACCCTGGCAACGGTTCGCCTCGTTCGCCCAACTGCGCATGGAGTGGCAAACATATGCTTCTGAGAAGTCATGAAATGATGTGTGATGCTGTACGACACAAGAATGCGCTTTTTGATCTATGCACAAGTAAGTTTAGTAAGGAGCTCCGCCCTGTCGCAGTTAAGGGGGCCTAGGCTTACTTATAGGTTACGTAGAGAGGTATCTATTTCCACTGAGGAAGGGAATGGTGAGTACAATAACACCTCAGTTGTGAGACTTGTTACTCGAACAGATACGAAGAAATTCTTATAAACCAATACGTTTAAGTGGCTTAGTAAGTGTTCAACGAATATAAGTGACATCAGGAATTGGTTAAGAGTTGTGAATATGCATGTGTGTACGGGCATAGAAGGGCATAAAAGCATGCATACTAGACAATATATGCTGCAGTCAAGGTTATCGAGGGAATGGGAAGCAAAGACACGTAGACGTGCCAGTAATAGAGCATCCACTGCTATCATGCTATAGTCTTCATTCCAATGTTCCATCTGAACGCTTACTCATGTCTAGAGAAATTGCTCGGTTTTCAAGTGCCACAGACTATGAATATACAGCAGCTATACACCAAATAAGTATATATGGGCTTGTGAATATTAAAATATCTGTCTGACTTTATACATAAACTTGCCCATACCAAACTTGCACTTGCATACATATAGCTTTCGACCAACAGGCAAACGTGGCCCACATTCGGCTCTGTGATCTTACCGCGAAAAAGGTGTCGCCTACACGCGCCTCTTTTGTCGTTTTCATTCCTGTGACAATATAGCCCACCTGCACAGTCGGTGAGATACAAGATAGCACATTTAAAGGCTCTAGCGTAGGTGATTAATGTTTGCGTACTCGCGGTGGGTATTGGTTTGGCGTTGGTGCATTGTGATGCTCCGTGGGCTTTGGGATGGCATAATTGCAGAAGGTCTTGAAAGAACATCTGAATCATAGTTGCGTTCTACAATAAACGATTAAGTTAGAAACCAACCACGTACAAATAAAGAGCAACGCGCTTATATAACGTACGCATCCAACGCTATAGCGCCGGCGCTAGTTGACAAAAAGGAGGTGATCCAGGTTAACCTGCAGAACAAAGTATCCTCCTGAAGCTCGTATCCACCGGCTGCGTACAAGGCATGCTCGGCGGGAAACACGCAGATGTGAATATAACCCACAAACGCCAATAAGATCAATTAACCCCCATAAAATAGACGCTTTTCAATTTGTAGATGCCACTGAATCTTACATAAATTGGCATATTGGTCATGCCAAAGGCACGACTACCACGAGATATGCCCCAAATCACCATATAAATGGCTCTTTGTACTCTATAGAAGCCGCTGTCTACTACAAATCTCGATCTCGAATCTTACACGAACCAGCCATGTTTGCTAAACAAGATGCACAACTACTACGAGACAAAGCCGAGATAGCACCCCAAAATGGCTCCCTTTACTTAAATAGAAGACGTTATATCCCACGCATCACGCTATACGGCATAGTTACAACGTTACCATACCTGCCCCGCATATAAGGCTTGCGTCGGTGTGGTTTCCGGGTGTAGGATACCCAGATCGAGTATCTCATACGAACGACCTGAATGTGCAGATTCGATCTTGTCGCCTGGTTTAAGTATCCCGTCCATCAGCTCAAGCAGGCATACCACTCCCTAATGAAGAACTTGGTGCCATCAGTACACTCTTAGAGAAGTTCAAACAGTACACTCTAGCTCTAACTCTTACTCTATCTCTAACGAAGTGCATATTCCATGATACATCAAACATGGGAGTTTGATGGGTCCTGGTGTACGTCGATCATCCCAAGTTGCCCGGTTGTATGCAGATGTTCTCCTCCTCATAATTCCCGTGTTATTCTCTGACTGCTTGGTTGACACGTTGAACAAAGACTATACCATACACGGTAGTAGCAACAAGCAGCGAAAAAGTGTACACGCACGTACCTTGTACTCATCAAACCAGCTGTCAAACAGAAGCGCTCGCAGAGGTTTCTCTCGGTCGCCCTCTGCCGTTGCACAATACAATGGATGTCAGGGAACAGCAAAAAGTCGAGTGCCAATGAGATTGCGTACCAAGCATGCGGTATAGTGATTGGTCAAAAAACTTTGGTAGAGTGTACCTTAGAAAATGTATGCGATTTACGCTAAGAGTACACTAGTATATTTGTTGATTTATGTATCTGTAGCAGTGTATGATGTACGTAAATTCAGACTTTGTATAAATACACGTATGTGTGGTCCACCACCGTTTCTAATAGGACAATTATTGGTGTGTATCGACATTAACGCACGCTTGCACGCGCTTACCCCCATCCACATAACTTTCAAACAATCATGGACGCAGATAAGGGCAATCAGACATAACACCCGTTACAAGTACACACACGTGATTCAATGTACGCGCACGTGTACATGCATATAAGCCTTCAGAACGACACATACTTGGACAGGGCATCCGATCTACCACGGCTGGTAGGACTGTGTCGCAGCCCACGCCCGTCTTGGCACTCAGCTTCAGTACTTCATCTTCTTCTGCGCCAAACACATTCAACACACTTGCATACACCGCAGGAAGGTCCACGTGCTGCAGATCAACCTGTGTGTGACGAATGTTAGAGAGAAGATGGATCAGCCTGTGTGTCACGAGTGTTAGAGAGAAGATAGATCAACCTGTGTGTGACGAGTGTTAGAGAGAAGATAGATCAACCTGTTTGTGACGAGTGTTAGAGAGAAGATATCCCGTGCCAAGGGGTAGAAATGTTCAGTAGGGACGTATCACGTTATGATATGCGAGTGCCAAGAAAACAATACAATACATGTTTAGGACGTTGAATGCACAATAGGTGCAGACCAGCAAGTGTATGACCAGTGACAATCAAGAATGAAACGTATCAAGCGACTGGAAATGCTGAATGAGTGCACATATAATTGTGTATCGCGAATGTTAGGGGGGGGCTTTGCGTCGAGGGGTACGTATGCAAAACTGGTGCAAATCAATTGTATAACATTTAGTGTTGGGGAGAGAATAATACGTTTCAAGAGGCAGGGATGCAGAAAAAATAAGTGATGAACAAGCGATTAACCCGACCAAAGGGCCATATACCTATTAACACTTGCCAGAAGCATAGAAGGAATTAACGGGGGCATGTAACATACATCACGGATAATTCACGTTTGGGCAATAAACGTGGAAGGGATAGTACATCAAGTGGCGGAGGTTTCACATGTTTCGAGGTGAGGTTGGTGGCACCTTTTAATCACGAGATAATAAATGTCAGGAAACAAATTCACCGCGGGGAGGATTTGGTAATGCAACACATGCTTATTTTAATATAACGCACTATTAGTTTACCTCAGGACTACGAACACGCAAACTATAGCGCAACAAGGCACACCTACTTTATTCAGACATGTGATGATTTCCAAATCATTCTGAAAGGCCAGGAAAAAGTTGGCTACGGTTTGCGCCTGTATTCCCTGGGCTGCATCCACCAGAAGTATCTGTTAATGAAGATAGTGAATTAAATGTTTGAGTGCACATTCATACGAAATTCAGTCGTTGCCGATTGTACATTTGATAACCATACATTCTCAATGAAGCACATGGCTATCTTCAGCCCTACACTTAATCCAACACAGGCTACAGATACAAACAACGGAACAAATCAAGCATGTCAAATATGTGTGCTGCCAGCGCCAATAGAAGAATGCTGAGCGCGTAATATCTACACGCACATATTCCGCTGACGAACGGGCGACGGCATATACCCACAGCTATCGCCGACCAAAGTGCAATCTGAGAGCACCTATATATATATATATATATATATATGAAGTGGAATACAATCTACGCCGTTCCATGATACGCTGCCTAAGAACACGAAACTTCTTGGGGGGCAGTTTTGAGGATATGGAGTCAGGGATCAACCTCTTCGCTTAGGAAACTCTTAGTAGAATAGTGCTTGACACCACGTGAAAGATATCATATACCGCTCTTTGACACGCGGCCCATGTGCGACAACTTATAGTTAAAACCACTCGAGAAGAAAATAGTACGAAAAGACACTCGTGCGTATAGACAATCGTGAATATATATATATATATGTGTGTGTGTGTGTGTGTGTGTGTGTTGTATATATATA